GAGACTTCGCTAGTGTTTAATTCACAGTTGTAAGCAGCTGAAGTGCAGTGTATGGTGAGCAATAATTGCTTTCATGCTTTCTGTCCTTGACACCCCTTCCAGATAGCTCATGTGTCTTCTACCTGTGACAGCTTCTACTTCACACTACTCAATGTTGGAGATCTTCCTCCTCTGTTTTCATGGGTTTATACAAACCTACCAGGCTCCAGTTGGAGGCAGCAGGGCTGGGGCTTCTGGCTTGATTCCCAGCAGAGCAAACATCACAGCTGCATCAGGTGTCCAGGTGAATCAGGGCAGACCCCAAGGATGGAGACCCCCACCATTCAAGACCCCATCCTAGGGATGCCCCACTCACATGGGAAAAGGCTGTATCATTATGTCCAGTTGGGATTTTCTCTCGTTGCAGTTGTGCCTATTGGCTCTTGTCCTGTTGCTTTGCACTTCTAGGAAAAGTCTGGCTGTGTCATCTCTGTCACCTTCCCTTTAGGATGTGGAAGATGCAGTTAGAACCTCACTTCTCAATTCCCCACTTACTTAATTCTGCATTTGTTTTATCTCCTGTATTTTCAATTCATCCGTTTTCCTTTTCCATGGATGTGGTTTCAGACTCGCTAAGAGGGGAAGACACTGCTGATCAAACTGACAGTGCCATTGGACTTTGGTCTAAAGTGCTTCAGCATCTCCCATAAGGTCTTTGTGGACTAGACTTGTCTGCGGGGGACTGGCAGAACTTAATACTTTGACTTTGAGACAAAAAAAAGGGGATTTGTTCATCTCTACTACTTTGCTTAGTCTTGCAGGCTGCTCAGAATGGTTGCATATAGATAGTGGTGGTGGCCAAGACTCCATCCCAAGACACCATCCCACAGATGGTGGCTGTGTTAAATCTGGGGCCCACATCAGAGCCTGGCTCCACCACTCTTCCCATCCCCATGAACAAGATACTCCACAGTCTGCAGGGTCTGCACAGCCCCAGCCACTGCTGCTGTGCCTGGCAGGGATGTAGCAGCTGCTGTGACACCTTCCTTGTCACAGGGATGCTGGGCTGGATCAGCCAGAAATCATGCAGTTCTTTTCTGTTTACATGGAAGCAAAACAAATCTTGAAAGGTACGTGTTTATCCTCACATTTGTCACTTTGCATCTACTGTCCTGTGTTGGTCCTGTGCAATGCAGCAGAGCAAAAAAAATTAACAGTAGAATGAGGAAAACTTAATGCATGAGTGAAGAAAACCTGTAGTTATAGTATTGCGTATTCCCTGTGCCATGGAGGAGAGTCTGAAACTATGTCTGCCAAACTGCTGTTGCTGCACTGAATGATAACCAGCACTTCCCTTCCTGGCTGCAGCCTCAACAGGGTCTCTGCACAAAAACCCACTTTCTTCCTAGTGCAAATTAAGAGAGGCAGACCAGAAGGGGCAGGGGTAGGCACCAGATCCTGCAGCAGCATTGCCACTGTGGTGATGCAGCTCACTAAGAAAGGAGAGCCAGGCACAAGCCCATTGCTTGTAGTTTTCCAGTGGGGTCCCTCAGCAACTGTGGATGCTGAGGATGCTGCCAACGCTGGCAAGGGTGGCTCCCTGCTCATTAAGCAAGTAGGTATAAGCTACAGCCAACTCTGCCATCTCATTTGAGGTGTGATCTACCTGGTGTCTTATGCCGTCCACCGCATCAACTGATCAGATTAATTGCCATGCAGCTGGTATGAGAACTGGGAGCAGATGAAAGCTTTTATTCTGCTTCTATTCACCCTTAGATCATTACCCCTCACATTGCAAAGTGTTCTTGGGCTTGCCACATCTCCCGTGCTACTTTGTCATCTGCTAGCATGGCTGTATGTGGCTTGCAGTCTTGCCACAGATAAAAGAAATCAAAATCTCATGAGAAACTCTGCCAGAAGCTATCATTTTTAAGGTAGCTGTTGCAGCCTGATATAAATGCATTGGGAGGAAAATGATGTTTTTTCTTCTGCAACGGCTGAAGAGTTGTTCATACCCGGTGCATCAAGGGTGAGATATGCCCATTGTTTTCAGGGAAAAATCTATTTTCAACTTCCCTCTAAACCAGTGTTTTTGCAGGAGAAAGAAAAGGGCTTGAGGCTAAACTTGATCCTCATGGGCTGCATATTTCAGTACTGGAAGGCTGTGACTTAGTGGCCTCTGGAAGCTCTCCAAGCTATCAGTAGCTCAAAGGAGGAATTAAAAACTCAACGAACTGCCTGTTCTCCTGAAACTTGTTTTGTACATGCTGTGGAAGAGATGAGAGATTTGAAAGAAGGTGGCCCTGTCCAAGAACCATTGGCTATAACAAGTCACAGCAAGCAAGGAGTATTTATTTTATTAAAAAGTTAGATATCTTTTAATGAACCTTTTTGCCAAGTTCATGTGGAAGAATTTGCCAAAATACCATGCACGCTGTAATAAATCACAAGGTACCTAATAAGCTTCCCTACTTGGTTTGCTGTTCCTGAATCTGTATGAAGGAATGTCAGAATACCTGTTTTCTCCCCCAAAATGGGAAGGAAAGACTGAGTATCGCTTCTGGTGTTTTTCCAGACAACTGGAAAAGCTGCGTGAACAGAGATATGTCCTGTGCTGGCCTGTGAAACCAGTCTTTGGGGTGGTAGGAGGAATCTCAGGAAGATGAGGCTGAGGCTGGATGTTAGGCAATCAGTTCATCAGAGCTCAGGGAAGAAGATTGCTCCTTTGGTTGGCTCTCTGCTTCTAGACAAGAGTGATCTTTGTTTCACAGTACTTAGTCTTAGTCCCCAGATCTGCCTTGCCCTCATCCCAAGTCCATTGTTGGGTGGATATCTTGGACCTGTCCATCCCTGACAGTTCAGGCTTACTTTCAAGCCCAAGACACAAAGAGCAAAATCAGCACCTCAGATTATAGGAAACAAACTCAGTTTCTGGAGACTTCAGGAAATTGCCCAGAAGAAGAGCTGAAGTACTTGCTGAAAGCAGAGCTTGCAAGCCCAACTCAGGGAGCGAAGTGAGTGATCTTCTGCTCTTAGGAGTGCTCTATGTAGTAAAGGAGAGCTCTAAGAAAAACCAGCACCATGGCTTGGTGCCTGCAGACGTGACCTGTAAGGATGCATTTCTGAACACAACCAGGAAACATCTTTCCACCCTTTTTGCCACATTTTGCCAGTTCTTGAGAGCGAGGGCTGACCCTTGGGCCCACCCAAGAAAGAGACTCATTAAGGGATCCTTCCTTAAGTTAAGGAAGTTAAAGCCATTGCTGTCATGCTTGCTTTGGGTGCTAGTACTTGGTACTGCTGCACCTCAGTAGTGTATTCCTAAGTATCAGCCCAGGACAGAAAGCTTATCACAGAAAGGTGTGTTGGTTGCCTTCAAAAAGCTGGAATTTGTTATCTTCTCAAAGAGAATCTCCAGCTGGAGATGCCGGAGCTGGGCATCACCAACAGAGAGGGAAAGATTTCAATCAAGGTTGGTACCTACCAGCCAGAACTGGTCAGAAAGTGTCCAACTGCCTCTTTCTTTGTGGCTCCTTTGGTCTTAAAATGCTCATTTGCTGAAACTAAAATATTTTTCTAGGAATGTGCTAATTTAAACACTCAGCTTCGAAAAGATGGGATTTCAGTTAAACTGAGTGAGAGGGAATCACTTAATTTACCAACCAGCTTGGTGAGTTTGAGCTCTCAGCTGAAATATGAGTAGAACCCAGGTTGTGTCCTTGCACCAGCAAATGCATCCTTCTCATTTGAAGTGAAACAACCCTAGCAGGAGTGGCTCACACAAGGATCTTCTTGCTTCTCATCATGCTTTGGCACAGGGAAATCACTGAGCCTGAAAATCCCCTATTCTAGGCAGTTTCTCTGGCCACTGGTTGTTGGCTGTCCAGACCAAGTCTGTAAAGTGACAAGCCAACATGCCAGCGGGGACCAAAGTCCCTTACTGTAGAGAACCTACAACCAGCTCCAGTCGTAACAAAGCTTGGCCATTTCCAGGTTTGCTGGGATGAACATCAGCACTTGAGGTGCTTTCAGTTCCTCCCCTGGCACTGCAGCCTGGTTGATTTTTAAGGGGCAAATTCTTCTTTTTTTTTTTAGTTTTGCTCACTTGCAAATATTTGCCTGAGGACAGAAGTTATATTGAAAGTTCATACTCTCCAAAATATGCATGTCGATGACTGCACATCAGTTTCCTGGAAGTTGCTAAAGCAGCAAAATTTAAGTTGTGTTCACTTGTACAGGACAAAAGGAAGTGCTGATTTCTCAATCTAACCTGCCCTGGCTTCTGTTCCACTTCTCCCCCTCCGTGAATGTAAAGTATTGGTTTTATGCTAGCCTTTCAACCATGTAAATACTGTTGCATGGCAAGTATTTACCCATCTTGCCACAAGTCTGGGTGAGCTCCAGCCTTTGGTAAAGGGTTTCCCCTTTACCATTGCCAGTGATAGCATGAGTACCAGATGCAACTGTAGCCCCTTGAGAAACCTCACCTTCAACCCAACTACACTGCAGATGGGTGGCAGCAACCACATGCCTCCAAGCGCACTGCTGTTGTAGGGGTAGCAATTCTTACTCTTTGTAAACCTGGATGGAAAGATGTCTACAAAGCAGTTTTACATGTTTTTTCTTCTTGTTCTCTTTTGCCAGTTTACCACAGTTACCATGTGGTTACCCTGTTTGTAGAGCCTGTTGAAATGTCTGGGAGGAAAAAGGGGAAGAGTTTGCTTCCATTGCGTTCCTCATGCTACTTACAGGGTGTGGGAATGCCTTGAGGTTCCTCTAGGAGATGTGTGGAACTAGGGTTATTGCAATGGGAAAACCATTACAAATTTCACAAAAAGCCTGTATTTCTTCACTGTGCTTCTCGTGAACAACTTGTGGTTTTTTCCAGCTGGAAGAACAGGGTGTTGCCTCAGATATTTTTGTTCTTATTGAGTCCTAGGCTAGAGGCACGATTATCAGCATGCAGGGAAGGCAAATATTAATGAGTAATCTTTCTAAAACATCTCTCTTCTTTATTTCAGAGTCTCCTGAAATTGCGCCCTCAGTTGTAGTTCACACAACTGTGACATTTGGAAGTGAATACCTGGATTCAGACCCTACACAGGTGCAGCAGTTAATTCTCAGTCACCTGGAGAGAATTTTGCCATCCCTACCTAAACCATCCAGCATCAAGTGTCAGAAATGGAGATACTCTCAGGTACTCTCAGGTGGGATCAGTCAGCTGGGAGGATGCTGCTGGGGCAATGCTGTAGTACAGGCTTTTGGTGCATCCCGAGAAACAGGGCATCATACAATTCAGTGGTTTTCATCCTCAGTGAGCAAGAGAAAAGGGGATAGTTGCTTGATATCCATAATACATTCTTCCACATAGCTGTGAGCAGCATCTAAGGCTGGCCAACAACATTTCTAGTCATGTTTTTACAGAATGGACCTGGATCAACAGTAAGTTATGCAGCACTCCTGGCAAATAGGGAAAGGAGCAGTGCACAGGAAGTAAATCCCACATACTGAAGGGGGATTTTAGCTGATATTTAAAAATATGACTCAATCTGTCTCTTCTGTATATGAAGGTATGTGGTATTATCAGCAAAATTCCCAGTTTACCACAGAGTAGCAGAAGTCCTTGCATTCAGATGTACTAATTGTTATTGTTTGATTTGGCCCAGTTCAATTTAATAGTATGTTATGCGAACAATATTTTAAAGTAAACTACCTAAAAGTAATAATAGCAAAATGTGTATATTTTACAGACTTCTTTTAGAAATCCAAGGAAATTGTTGGCAGTTTCCTAAAGTATTGGAGTGTATCTACATGTTTACCAAAGCCTCTTAAGTTAAATTACATTGGTGAAATTGAATGTGGAAGTTGATGCAAAATATTTACTTAAAGCAGTCCCCTAAAAATTTTTCCTCTTATGAAATCTGGAAAAGTTACTGGAGATGACTGTTGTGAAGTTTGCTCGTACCCTTTGATCTGCATCCAGTTTAGGAACCTGGTCTCATTAGCATGAAGTTTATTTTTCTGACTCATACAAAAATCATGTTATGTTTTATACTTTACTCTTTATCAGTTCACGGGGTTTTTTTCTAGTAACAGTATCTTTGTACAGTTATCACTCTTACACTATCCTTTTCTGATTGCGACTTCTGGTCTTTTCTTCTGCGCTATTACCTGCCTGCTTCAAACTACTTGTGAACATAAGTGTCTTTCCAATAGACACTCTGGAAATCAGCTCTGGAAAGGAAGTACTAAGTAACAAGTATTTTTAGACAGAACTAGTACACCTCAGATACTGCTGCTATCACAGAGCTCTGTCATGAAATTTGTCAAATTCAGCTACTTTGTTTATGTGTTCAATGAAATAACTTAATCTGTTTTTTCCTTGTACTACTTACACTTTTAGCATAGTGTCAAAAGTGACATAAAAGCATATGTATCATATATGGTCCATTCTGATTTATTTCACCATGAAAACATGAATAAAGGAGAAGACAAGAATGGCAGTTAATTTCTTGCTACTGAATAGAAAAATAGAAAAATTATTGCATTCTCAATTCATTCTACCAAACAACTGTGCTTTTTGAAGCCTGGCAAAATTATGGCCATACAGGATTTATTATAACCATGTACCTTTTGCTTCATCTTTTAGAGGTCGCTGGAACAGTGACTGTAGGAATGAACTCTTATTTTCCTCAGTTGTTTCAAAACTATTCTCTCCCTGTATCACTAGGTGTGTGTCCTGTTTCCCTTTTTAAAAATTACATTCAGACATCATACTGCTGGATGATACTTCATTATTTTCTCAAACCACAATTTACAGCTCTTCCCACTTTTTTCTCCTGCCTCTGTGCCTGCTCTTGACCATGCTGCTACTAACAAAAAACACCAACTTCAGCAGCTGCTTGTGCTTTATGGCTGTGTCACAGGAGGAATTATCACCAGCCTTTAGTTCAGTGGATCAATGTCAGTATGTCTTAGATTGCAAACAATCAGTGTAGGTCAGACCCGTTATCTCAATAAAGAGATCTCTAATGCCACCCTATAAAATAATCACTACCTAAATTAAATATTTGGGACAGAGCTCCCTCTTTCTCTTAAAGCTATATTTGCTTTCAGTTATAATAAGCTGTTGCCACAGAAGCAAAGGAAACTGATAAGATGGGTGCATCTTTCCCTTGACTCTTAGACAGGATTTATCCTACTTGTTAATTAAATCCGCCTTTAACATCCTTCATATGGCCAAACACAATCCTGGGATTAAAATGCAGACATTATAATTATGCATGGCAGATGAGGGATTAGGACTTCCAAACTTCTACTGACACTACTTAGCAGCACAGCTGCAATTCTGAATCCTCTGCTTTAATTACACTACGACACTATTAGCATTCAGAGCCAACAGCTTCCTAACCCATCATGTTCCTTTGACAGAGTCACTTTATTTGTATAAGGGATACTGGGAAAACACACAATCACAGAAATTTGACTTCTTCAGAGGGGATGTCAGAAGGGATCTCTTCAGGTCTGTAGTCCAAACTGTTGTTCAAAGCAGAACTACCACCAGCATTAGGTGATCTCAACCATGACTTTGTCTATCTGTCTGAGTCTGGAAGTCTTTGAGGATGGAGATCCAGCAGACTGAGCCATATAGCTGAGAGTAATTTGCAATTTAGGTTGGACAACACCTTCAGAAAAACTTAAAGAAGGGGTAGGATCATTTCGTTCCCCAGTCACTATATTTAGCATGAGGGCCTATATTTAGAGTGAGAGCACAAAATCTTCCACACAGGCAAAAAGATGCAGGCTGAGATGTGGAAATATACTGATCCTGTGGTCAGTGTGACAAACCAGAAGCTGCTCGGTACAGTCAGCATCGAATAGCCACTGGGTAGTCAAGAAGGAAGGACACTCAAAAAGCCTTTTTCTGCTAAACCTTTCTTCATTGTTTATGTTCAGTGACCTCAATCTGTAAGAAAAAATCGGGAATAAAGTACTGACCTAAAATTAGTGCTGACAAAGACAATCTCCAGCTGGATTTACCATACATGGCTAGACTCTTCTGTTAAGTTAAATAATGGAGAATGGGTTGCAACTGGCTACAAATTAATTTCAGATAATTACCTCCTTTAAAGAGATGCTAACATGCCAGTAACACAAAATGCAGCCAGTAACATAAATGTGGGTGTTTTGCAGCCAACCTGTACTTGGAAATGGCAGATAATGTAATGGTAGTGGCTAGCTTAGTGTACATTTGAATCAATGGAAAAATTCCTTGGACTGAACAGGATGCCTTGGACTTCAGGTCTTGTTCACTGAAGCTGGCAGTTGTATGACGGATACAGTAACGGTTTACTGCACAGGAATCCAAAACATGTCTTTGGACCAGAAGATGTGCTAGAATCTAAAACGTATCTTTGGATCAAAGGCAGAAAGTCAAGAAATGATTGAAAAAAAAAAATTGCACTCATCATGCTTTATTGTCTCTATGGTTTGATCACTATTGCTGGTCTACTGCTGTGCTCCTGCTCTTTCATTTTTTTTCTTTCTCTCTCTGGCTTTCTAGATATTTTTTCCTCTTTTTCGGTATTTCATCCTTATGGGTCTTGGTTGTTGGTTTTTTTCATTTTCTCGGACTTTCTTCTCACCTTCCTCCTCTGATCACTTCATCATCAAGATGTCCCGCATTTTATTATCTTTTTTATCCTTTCTGTCTGAGTTTGCCTTGCTCTCATGTTTACCTTTAGGCCAGTGCTGCTGTCTTATCTCCACTCTGAGGTTCACCAGTGCTGTTCTGGGATACGCTGGTTTAGTGCATTATGGATACTCAGGTTGGAAACAGGCTACAACAATGTGTGACACAGCCAAGCATGGTAAAATCACAGATGATGTGTACTTTTATTCTGCCATTTGACACACTTTGGTATTTGTCGTGAAATACAACATCAAAAGGTCATGTTCTCCTCATGAATTCCAGGTAGCTTCAGATTAATAGGTACTAGCCAAAGTAAAGTCCATTCCTTTTTAGAAATGTTACACAGAACTGCTCAAGAGCTGCCACTCCACAGATACGAATTTAATGGAGGGTGTAGTGCCAGGAAAATTATATTGAAAATGAATACAGTGCATATATTGAGAATTACATTAAATATTTATCAAAGCAACTTTATTCAGAACTTGTCCCATGCTACTTTCAGAGAAGGTGTTGGTTGTATCTCTAGCAGTGTCTAAAATTTGTTGTGCTACTCAGGTGAAAAAGGAGACCAGCATAGCAGAGCTGGAGACAGGGTGGATTGTTGCAAGGCTGTATGTATGCTTGCTCAGCAACATGAAGAATGGGCAGGTCATCATGACAGTTGTTACTCTGAAGTCCACCTCCCTTCCCATCCAGGAAGATCACCTAGTCAACCCAGTCATGTTGCAGGCTCTCTCGGAAACAGCAGGCTCCCTTTCTTTTGTTGAATAATTATGTATCTGAGGGGGTTTGCAAGCCCACCTTTGCTGATGTGAGATCATTTATCTTCATACCTTTTGGCTTAGAGATCTCCATGCCTCGTTTATCCAGGGTCAGGCAATTCCTTTCTGCTGAGATGGACAGAGAATGACACAGGGCAGGGCTGTAAAGTTTCTAAATTTCCACATATAGGAAAGCTTTATTTTAATTATTTAACTCAAGAAGACAAATATTTTGCTATGGTATGCTGATCATTAATGCTTGGACCTACAATCTGGGATGGGAGGAGTGCTTTGTTTGAAGGCATGTTTCTCAGGAATACAGACCTTTCTGGCATGAAATTCAGGTAAACAAAATACTTTATTTTCCATCTCCCTTTATATTTTTCTTTTTCAGGTTACAAAAGCTGTGCCCAATTCTCTGGGACAAATGATTCTTCATACTCAACCTCTCCTGGTTTGTGGGGGCGATGGATTTACTCGTTCCAACTTTGATGGCTGCATAGATTCTGCTATTAGTCTTGCAGAGACTGTGAAGTCTCATTTATAGCAACTACAAAGTCAGCTGCTAAACTTAGTCTAGATTTATGATGAATTTTACTATGTTGGATTGAATTCTAGTTTAGTGTTAACATCACTGGCCTCTACCTTGCAAAAATAAATAAAGGAAGATCTATTGGTGTGCTTTAATAATTATCAAGATGGAATTGAATTTAATTTTTAGTGGTTACTTACTTGAAGTAGAGCATTTTCTGACTCTAGTCAGAAGCACTGAGCTTCAGCAAATCTCCTGACACTTTTACAGCCTCTGAAAATTATGTCAAGGAGAGGAGCCTGACTTAAAACAGCACGTAACCCCGTGGAGCTGCAGCGTTTACTCCTCTAAGCATTTGGAGCCCTGGAAGTGACAGAAGGAACATGCACAATTGATCCCAGAGCTTTCATACATACCCGTGGTGATTTCTTCTGGTGCAGATCAGTCCTGCTCATGTGTTACTGTGTTGGCCATGTGGAATCAGTGATGGGGCATACCTTGCTATGCTTCTCAAGTTGCATGGCCTATGCAGGGTCTAATCATATCAGCACAAGGTCTAACCCTGTCTCCAGGCATGGACAACTTTTAAGTGAGGGGTAGTAGTTGTCTGCTGACCAGCTTTCTTTGCCCACAGTTTTCTGGAGACCTGGTTGCAGATTGCTGGAAGAGCTCATTTAAGAGCTCGATGGTGTTCTGGCAATGATGTGCCACTGAAATATGGTACCTGTCGTGGGTGCAGTCTCAGCAGTATCAGCCCAGCTGTGCTCATAAAAGCAAGAATGTTAAAGCATGCACGTTTCTGACAACGATAGGACTGTTATACCAAAGTCATCTTGGGAATAGACATTGACATCTGGGCTGTGACATGAGTTTAACACAGTAAAGCAGACTGGCCAGGAAAGTGGATGAACTTAAAATTCAGTATTTGCCAGTGCATCATAGCTCTCTGCTGGTCCAGGGTTCCCTGAACAAAGAACAGCCCTTTCCTCCTTCCACATGGTTCAGGAATAGGGGTAAGAGCAGCCAGTATGGAAGCTCTTTGCCTGGCAAATGCCAAGAGGAAGGAGGAGAAGAATTTGTCTAAGCATGGTCCATGGCAGTGCGTTAATAAAGAAAATTGGGCTGACATTTCAGGCAGTTACATCATGACCCTTATGAGTTTAAACTAATATGAAGTAAACAGCCAATCTGAAAGAAAGGTGAGTTCTAGATAGCTCTATACTTTGCTTTGGCAGAACAGGCATAGAAAGGGAGGGACAGATCCAGGGAAGGGTATAAATACATGTGTGAGTGAATGGACAAGGAATTTGATATGAAATACTAAAAAATATATAATATTTAGATTTATAAT